GAGAGAGAAATTAGATGAATGATAGATAAAAAGTTATCTGGTCTAGCATCACACCTTTCAATAGATTAGATATTATTATCATCTGTTTTCATAGTTGAAACAACTAAAATTTATAGATTTTAACTGTTTGCCCAAGGTAAAAATGCTACTAGAAAAAAGGAGAATGACAGTAGAAATCCAGATCTCCTGCTTCTTAATATGATTTACTTTCAAGACTAATATATTTCCTTTTATGTATTTTTAAACATTTTTATTTTTAAATAAAGTGTACCCTTGAATAATGCAGGGGTTAGGAGCACCAACCTCCCTCACAATCGAAAATCTACGTATAACTCTTAACTCCCCATAAACTTAACTACAATTGTCCCTCAGTGTCTGCAGGGGATTGGTTCCAGGTCCCCTACCCCAGCCCCCTGGATACCAAAATTCATGGATGTTCAAGTCTCTTATATAAAATAACATAAACAAAACATACAGTCTGCCCACCATACCTAACAACCAAAACTGCTGTTTTCAACCCACGGTTGGTTAATCCCATAGATGAGAAACCCAGGAATACAGAGGGCTGACTGTATATTTATTTTTAAAAGTGCAAGTATATGTGAACCTGTGCAGTTCAGACCCGCGTTTTTCAAGTGTCACGTGTAATGTTATACTGTCAGAAAAGTTTCAAAAAATAGTACAAAGTTTCCATAACCCTTTACCCAGCTTCCCTTAATATTAACATCTCCCATAACTGTCATATAATTATCAAAACTAATAAAGTAACACTGGAATAATGCTATGAAATAAATTATAGTTATCACCAGCTTTCAATTAATGTATTTTTCTGTTCCAGGATTCAACCCAAGATTCCACACTGCATTTGTTTTTTATGTTTCCTGGGTCTTTCCAATCTGAGTGATGCCAGAACTACTTAGTAAAGAATATTTGATATCTCGAAAGGAATGATTATCATATCTGAAAATGAACTATTAATTAGTGGTAATATAGAAGCCTCCATATCCATTCTCATGTGATACTTCATGATGGCTATTAGATTATATCTGCTTTTCTTCTATGTTCTTAATGCAACTATCTGAAATTTGTGTATCCCTTTTCCTTCCATAATTTGCCCATCTTTACCACTGCGAATGTAAGATTCAGTAGCTCTGTCTCTATATCAAGATATATCAAGGATC